CAAAATTTTAAATCTTAAATTTACATTGGCCTATCCTAATGCAAAATGTTGGCAATGGTTTCTCTATGGAACACGATCACAGAAAGTTTCTTTCACTTTGTGATATTTTCAAAATATTATTTTATTTTGCTATATACAAAAAAAACTTATAGCAGATTTGCTGAATTGGCAAACAAAGCCTCTCCATTAAGAAGTTCATACCCACAGAGCAAGGCTCTGAATGAGAGCCATTAGATTTTCTACCAACTGACTGGAATAGAAAACACAAGGCTTCCACAGGATGGCAAAGAATCAGGAGACTTTCTTCATGCCGTTGTACAGAGCCCTGTGTGGTGAGGGGTAAGGAGGGGTAACGAGCTGCCAGTCCTTATCTATGCAGGCTGAGGGGTGTGACACACTTCTGTCACCTGGAGTCTGTTGGCAGTGCACCTGTGCTGGGCATCTTCTATCTGACTTTTGAGATCTACTCTCCCAGCTTAAGCACCCTGTTCTGGCCCACATTTTCTAGCCTAAAGCATGGCATAAAGTGGCTTCCAGTCCTGTGACTTCTCCTTGGGTTTGGCCAATGGAGTGAATGGTGGGGTGGTGGGAGACCGCAGAGCAGAACAGGGCCAGGGTACTTATACGCCTCGGCCCCCGTCCATCCCAGGAGGTCACTGAGCCCTCCACTGAAGGCTCTGCTCCTGCTGGGCTCCTGTTAGGCGGTGCTTTCCATATGACTCAGCCTCCCTCTGAAGTTCCGGGTCTCCCCACAGCTCCTCTGACCCTTGCCCCTTCGGGAACAGGGCTGTAAAAACCTCTCACCATCACCAGTCCCAGACTACTGCTTCATTCCTATTGCTTTTTCTAAACCCTGCGCACATCTTTGTAAACAGTCTCTAATAAACTCTCAGTCAAATAACCCAGTTTGAGTGTTACCTGATTCCTAACAGGACCCTGTTTGATACAGTAATATCTGCAATTAAAGGAAAACAAGGCTGAGTGCATTTATACTTCACAAAAGGAAAAACGTGACCTGAGGTGGTTTAGAAAAATTTTCACTCAAGTTTGAGAAGAAAAGTTTAATCCTATGTTAACTCTGTGATTCAATGACTCCATGATTCCTATACTTTCTAGGTTTTTGTTTTAAAGACTTTAAGTTATTAACCCTTATATAAACTCAGTACCTATAGGACAGTGTATTAGAAGAGGGATAGAACACTGGTTATCTATTTCTCATGAGACAAATTGCTTTTGCAATAAATCTAAAGGTAGATATTTTTCTCTCTTGTACTGTTCATGGAACACCTTTTCACTTTGTTGTGAATGGGTTTTCCTTAGCTCCGAGCTTCACAAGCCAATCCAGTTCACTGCACCCAGGTATTTCTGGTCTGCTCCACAGGAAAGTGGCAAGGACTCACCATGTGTTGATTAATTGTTTAAGGATGTGAGAAGTCCACTAGAAATTTTCTTCTGAAAATGCAAGACTATCCACAAGCTTGTTTCAATAGCAAGCTCCTGTACCCAGAGGGGAAAAGACAATTCTGAGAAGAACATGGGGTCTGTCCCCCAGATGGTCTCTCGTGCAATTCCAAGGAAAAGGTGATGGGCAGATTCTCTTTTCACTGGAAAGTGCGGTGAGGCACTCATTCCAAACACAAGGCAGACTTGCACGGACAATAATGCAAGAAAGCACAGTGCAAGAGAAAGGAGTAAGTGGTTCTCACTCGTGTGAGCTCAGCCATCCAGGCACAGCAGTGAGTTCACACCAGGGCCTCTTTGAATAGTGGAGGTCAGCCCCAGCACCTGTGACAGTCCCTGACTGACACCTCTGGAAGGTTCTTGTGCTTCTCTCAACTGGCACACCAACAAGGCTCCAAGAGCTCAGAGATTGGCAGCAGAACCTCCCCGGATGGTGGGCACAGTGTCATTGCAATGGCATCAGGCTCTAGTGGGAGCCAAAGGCTTTAGCTGCCAAGGTAGTCACAGTGTCAGCAGCTCAGGATGATGCTGATGGCTTTGGAAATGGCAGAAGAGGGCATCCTTGGCAATGACAGCAGCAACAGTGGCTACCTACCCTCACCTGGCTAAGAGGATTCAAGAAGCAGTAGCTTCAGGGGACAGCTTCTCTGATATCAGCTCTTTTTCTTTTTATCCTGAACAAAAGTGAGTTTACAGTATTAGGTGATACCTTAAGCCCTGAGGAAAGAAGATCACTGAATGATAAACTCTGAAGAGAGGGAAATCCAAGCAGCAGCAAGTCCGAAGTGGCCTAGGGCAGCATAAGGACAGTGTGACACTCACGAAGAAAAACACCATCTCTGTTCCATCTCTGCCAAGAACTAGGCTTAGATGTCAACAGCTCAGAATTGCTATTGCACAACTGAAATATGAATGCTAGCCTTGATCTCCTGTCCACTAATTTAATGAATAATATACCCCGAGAAAAATAAAAGCACGGAAGGAATAGAATCATAAGACTTCAAATTCTTTGAAATATTTTGCATTGAATTTTTCTGTCTCTGTGATTCCTACAGAGTGGCAAATTTTGTGTGCTTCCCTAAGGCAGGAAAACCAGGGAAAATACCACAGAATGTGTTGTTATAAACCACATGCTTCTAAGTCTCCAGTTTTCTCAACAACTGAGTTTAAGACAATAACAAGAAAAATGTTAATGTCCTCAAGATTAACAATAAATGACAAAGTTAGTAATATGTGCTAGCATTGAGTAATGGGCAAAACAACAAGTTTCCTGAGGCAGGAGGTATCTTATTCTTCTTTGATACCCCCTCCCCCGCCCCACCAAAGTGTATCCACAGAGTAGTGAACATCTACAAGGCTCCGAAGAAACTGAGCACCAGATGTAGGAGCACGGTAATTAAGCCACAGTACTGCCACTCCTGGGAACCGGCCAGGGTGGGGACCAGCCAGGGACTGCTCGGCCACCCCTCTCTGCCACACGCTGCCATCAGAGCCCACCTAGGAGAGCTGCCATTATTCACCTCTTCCTCTGCCATTTGCCCATCTCACCCCACAACCTTAGAGACCTCTGAGAGCACATTTCATTATATTAAAGAAAAAAAAATGAGAAAGCCACAAACGAGGTAAATTGCAGTGCTCTTCTGAGCTTCTGGAAATGGAAGAGGACAGAAATGACGACTAGAAGTATAAACATGCCCAAAATACTCCTGCCATGTATTTCCTTCTCTACTCTGCAAGTTACAGGGAAGATGGCCCAGATACACTGGCAGCGAGGAGACTAAGGTCACCAACACGAGAACTCATAGGATTCCGGTTTTTCATTAAAAGCAAACTTCAACACTTTTAACTGTTCAAAATGGGCCACATAATGAGAAAAATTATTTGGTATGTGGTTCAATATTGCAATAAAAAGCATTCCAATTCTGGAAATTCAGACATAAGAGAGAAGACTGGAACAGCTATATTCATATCCACTGAGGATATGATAGTTTTCGTTCTGTAAGTCAAGCACTGCAGGAAAAAAATGCCACAAAGCAGTTGACATCTTGAGGTAGTCAGAAGCGTGCGATCGTACAAATGGAGGCAAAAAGAAATCAGGTTGCCAACTCAAGATTCACCTGTGTTCTCAATTGCTGAAGTAATTTTATGATACTGCAGAAAACCCATATATTACTAAATCAACAAAACCTTGAACCACCTATGTCTATCAATGAATAGAAATAAAAGAAGAACATTTCTATAACCAGATAAACTGACCTTAATATGCACACATACCTAAGACAACCAGCAAAACACTGGGTTGGCCAAAAAGTCCATTTAGTTTTTTTCCATAAAACAAAAGACACATTTTTCATTTCCACCAATAAGTTTATTGATTTGGTGGGCAGAGGCCAGGGGTGCTGCTAAACATCTTCCAATGCATAAGACAGCCCCACAGCAAAATATTTATTGGACCAAAATGTCAATAGTACCAAGAAGCTTTGCAAATCATTTTTGACACATTCAATCAGTCACAGCACCTTCTCCATACACTGCACAAATCCTTTTTTTGCATCTGAGTTGTGTTTCTCACTTTCTTGAAGTAATAAAGTATAATATGCCAAAATGTTGCCTATGTTTTCCTTCTTCAGTATTAAAATGGCTGCACAAAAATTCACCAATGTAGGTGGTTTTTAAAACAGTTACACTGATATGACAGCTGCCACAATACCATCTAACAAAATGATCTCAAATGAAATTAAAGACAACTAAGCACTACTAGAGACATCACATAGAAAAAAATGAACTAAATTTTCTTGGCCAACCTAATGCAAGCCTACACAGGTCATCTCCAAATATCAGGATGACAGAGGTTTCATTACAGACACGCACAGACAAACACACATATGAGTAGGATATACTATCCTCTCGTTCTTCATTTCTCTTTAAAATTTCATGTGAACCCCCCGCTTAACAGAGGGAAAGTAACCACATTCCCACGCCATTTCAATATATTCAAGCAAAGCTCCTGGGAAGGTTTCCAGAGAGTTAGGTTCCTTTAAAAATGGCCATGCATCAAATAAAGCTTTGTCTGACAAAAGTAAAAGAGTAACTGATATGGTATCTGTATGTTCACTCTGCACAAGGTTCCTGTAGCTCAAAAGCATTTTACTCAAAGACGAACAGCCAATCAGATTAGAGCTCCGAAGACTCCTGCTCTGCCTCTCCCACAACCCTGCCAGCTCTCACATTAGAGAGGGCCAACCACCTGCTTCCTGAGGGAGCTGTAATCTGCCTTCCCCATCAGTTCCCCAAAGGGTCTCCATACCACGTGCCCCCCTTCATTCATTCCACTGCACTCACCTTTCATCTAGATTCTGAGATTCTTTAATGATAAGTGTGCAAGGGTTCATTTTAAAGGCACAACCAGTAAGAAAAGCCTTCAGTATTACACTGTATAAATGAAACAAAACCCCTAATTTTGAGAGTCTCCTGAATTAGAACTAAAAGCCGTAGCAGCCACAGATCCATGCTGAGTACCTGGCCCATTTTCGCATTACCTGCTTCGGTGTACTTTAGTCCCACTTTTTCTTCTGTGTCCTTTGCCTTTGGAGGTGGCCAGACAGCCTGGAGTCTGCCAGGAGTCCTGTCGTCCTGCTCCGTGGGGCTGTGGTCAGGCTGTTTATAAAGTGGGCAAAGAAAAGAAGCAGCTCCATGAAATAGGGTGAAAGCCAATCTTTCCCCCAAACAAACATGCTCACTCTAAAATTAATCAAAATTAATATTAATGGCCAGTTGTACATTGTTCTCAATGATCCTTTCCCAGAAATGTGAAGTGACCGGTCGGTGGAAGTGAAAATTAAAAACAACTCAAGGCCATAGGGGTGTAATTAATGTACAGCATGGTAACTATAGTTCAATAATATCGTCTTTTGAGTTTGAAAGTTACTAATAAAGTAAATTTTAAATGTCCTCATCACAAAAAAAGAAATTTGTAATTCCATATGGGGATAGAAGGTAAAGAGCCTTAGTGTGGAAATTGTTTGGCAGTACATCCAAATGTCGAATCATGCCCCACACCTGACACTAATACAATGTTAGGTATGGATTATACGTCAATAGAAAAAACCTCAAAGCCAAGTATTACGCAACCCTTGATAGAAGATTTTTATCATGTAACTGTTTAAAAACGCACAAATACACGTTGAGCTGAAGATACAGATAGAAATGTACTACAATAAGGTACATTTACAGGTATGTTTACGAGTGTATCCCAAACAAGTCCAGGACTCTATCATCTAATGACCACTTGTGCATTTTCCGTGAACATTAGCTGTAGGCCAAGACACTTCTTGGAGCACTCCACATTGCTATGTCAATTCTCTTTTTCTTTCCTATTAAAATAATAATAGTGAAATGGCTTTCAAATTCAAGCTATTTGTATCAGTTGATTTTTACAACTATGCAAGTGTTCTATTGTGCTTAGCTTTTAACTACAATTCAAAATAATTTTTCAAAGGCTTTAAAATTTTTAGCATTTTAACTGATTAAATGTATAAAAGGGAACAATTGTATTGAGTCGACACAAACCAAGAAATTCTACTTCTTGTCCTTAGAAACCTTTAAAATCGACTAGACAGGTAGTCTCTATAATTACTGAATTAATTTTCTTTGAATAACAGCTTTTATTAGTTAGATAGTTACCACACATGAACTTCATTTAAGCTTCACAACCACCATATAAAAGGAGGGTTATTTGTGTATTTTCTTCCTGAGGAGATTGAGGCTTGGAGATAACCAAGGTCACCCCAACAATAAGTGGCATTATCAGAATTTAAATTCAGGCCTCATTATAAATCCAGTGCTCAATCAGAATGCCTTGTAACCAACAGGGAACATTTAAATTACATCACAAACAAGTATTCCATCCGCCAAACAGTAGGCGTATGCATAAAGGAAAAATACTTTTCACCGAGGCATATAATTAAGTGGTGAGGAAATCTGGGCTATGTTTCCATCATGCATCGCATCCTCCTGCTGCTGAGTTTTCGTGAGAACATTTACTATGAATGTTTAAACTTGGACTGACCAGTCTCCTCTCCCATCAGCACATATTTACATAAAACAATCCATAAAAGTGTAAGGAAGAAAGAAAACACTTCTGTCCAACTCCATACTCCTTACAAGGGCAACTTCAGTATAATCATCTTTCACCTAAAAGACAGTCATTATTGACAATAGGTGACGAGATTCACTCTGACAGGAAGCCTCAAGAAATACGGCAGCAGCACATTTTATGACAAAATGCAAAACCCAATTCTACGTACGCTTTTGGAATCCGAAGGGCCGTCCACTGGCCTTGACTTGGACCGTTCAAACACAGCTCTTAGCGACTCCTTCTCGTGCCTCATCTTGCGCTTGAGAGCTTCCAGCTCAGAGGTATCAGCTGTGGTCCCCTTTTTGGGGGGACGGATGAATAGAGCCTTAAAGGCCTCCAGGGCGGTTTCTGGTGGCTTTGTCTTGACCTCTCCACCCTGGGTTGGGGCTTCTCCGGGGCTGCTCTGGCCCTCCTGGGCAGCGCTGCAGCCCATCTCTTCTGCCCGGGGCGGCTCAGGGTCTTCTGCCCTCAGCTCTGCTCTGGGCATGTCAATGCTGAGTAGCTGGGAGAGCTGCTCCAGGAGAGTGGGAGTGGCCTTCAGATCACTCGTTTTCTCCCCGGTCTTCTTCACTGTCTGTGGCACTGTCTGGACTAATGACTTGTGAACAGGCTGGGTCAATTTGAGCAAAGCCAAGTCCCCATCCTTTGGTTTAATTTCTGTGATGGTCTCCCCACCCTCGGCTGGAGCCCCCTTTTTTAGCACACGAAGCCCACTAAAAAAAGCTGGAAGCTGGAATGACTTCTCTCCAGGGACTTCTTTTTTAGAAGGGGTGTTTTCGGTGACACCAGCACTCAAGCTCTGGTCCGTTACCACAGGTAGAATTTGGGAGCCTTCTTCTCCTGCTTGTACCTGGTCGGGGCTGTGCTCCACCTGAGGACCGCCATCACCAGGGTCCGGTTTGCTACGTTTCTCAGAGGGAGTCCCTTGAGGACCTTCTGCACCCCGCTGTGCGTCATCCCCTTCCCTAGTGGCAGCATTTCCCCTACAATCTCCTGGCTTTTCTTTGGGCTTCTCAGATGGCGTAGATAAAACAATACCAGGGGACTCGGGGCCACTGGTGTTGCTTCCCTCTCCTGGCTCCTGCCCACCATCGTCCGAGTCAGAATCACTGGTGGTGTTCACGAGGGTCCCGCGAACCAAAAGGACATCATCTGTGCTCAAAACTGTGAGCGGAAGAAGCTCTTGCCCAGGGAGAGAAATCCCTGCCTTTGCTTTCCTCTGACCTCCCTCGGACTCCATCTCTGTCTCCACCCTGGCAGGCTTCCCTTCACGTCTGAGGTCAGGTGGCCCCTGAGCCTCTGTCTCCTGCTGACCCGAACCATGGCTGGCATCATCCAGACGAGGGGTGGGATCCGCCACGACACTGTGGAAGGCTTTCAGCACCACATCGTCTCCGTCAGGCTTCACAGGCTCCAATTTACTCGTAAACCCGAACAGGGATTTCACGGAGAACTTGCTCAGGATGGACTGAGCCATGTCAGGTCCAGCTTCAGATCTGTCTGGTTCCGAGACATCACTGCCATTGACAGAGTTATCACCGCCCTCCATGGCTCTGAGCAATGCCCTCAGTGGAAGTTCCGACTGGTGTTACTTCCCCTGCTCTCAGTTTATCCACTCCATCAGCTCTTCACTTACAGGACGGGAGCAACAGGAGCCGGCAGCCAGCCTCCCGGCCGCAGAGCCAGCCAGCGCTCTCGCTCTCCTTCCGGACTGGGACAGCGCGACGGGGGTGCACCCGGGGCAGCTGGAAAAAGTCCGTGGAGCTCTGTGCCCCGAGGCGGCGAGGCTGTGCACCTTACTACACACAGACTGGGGACGCTGCTCCTCTGGGACTTCCGCATTTATTCCCGTGCACAAAAGGCTTTTTGTCGTAAGGAGAGTCAGCCTGTCCCAGTCATCCCGGCCCAGGACTTTACCACGGCTCCGCCCCAGTGCCTGTCTTTCTCCTGGTCGCTCTCAACTTCCTCATTGGTGAGCAAGTGAGGCTCCAGAAGTGCTGAGCCCGCAAGCCGATCCTGACAGCCCTCCGCCCCCGGAGCAGCCCAAGAAATTCAAAAGTGAATCAGCAGAAAATGACTGAAGTACTTCTTACAGGCCCTGCTTTGCCATCTAACTTCTGGTCAGAAGCCTGGGTCACCCAGGCCAGAAAAACTAGCAGGGCATACAGACAGACCAACAGTCACTCAGACAAAGCCCAAAGCAAAGAAATTGAAGTACAGAAAGAAACGGATGATCTCAAAATGCCTGGAAGGCAAAAGCAGCTAACTTACTGCCCTTTAATTTTTTTTTTAAGTGCTTTCTTCCGCTTCCCTGCAGGTTTCATCTGGAATGCAGATTTCAGCTGTGAGAGCAGTGAAGGAAAACCGACAGGACTGGTTTCAGATTACTGCTGTTTTAGTTCTGCCCCGGTGTCTCTGGGCTCCGCAAACAGGTACTTCGCCAAGCACGCCCACCACGCTTGTATCCACCAGGCTTGGGGAGGCAGAGTCAACAGCCCTCTAGCCCAGCAACAGTGATTACCCTGCACACTCCCTGCCAACCTCAGGCTTCTTCAGCGGCTCTGACTTCCTGGCTTTTTTAGGAATCCTGGAAGCCAAAGGGCACCTCTCTCTGCTTCAGTGATCCAACCAACTAAATGTAACCTGGCAGTGGTACAAGGTAACACACAACCTGCCTTGTTAGGCACAGCAATTCATCAAAGGTCTCTGAAGAGCCACATTTCCCTAAGGGACAAAACATCTGAAAGGTCTCTATCCGTCGGGTCTCTATCACAGACCCAATTTGTCTAAAACAAAAACAGGACAGACAAATCAACCACCCAACATCAGCTTAAAGTAGTTCCCAGTACTGTTTATATGCTGGGAACCTGGCAACTGAGGTCGTGGAAAAATTGCAGTCCTGTTTCCCAGCTGCCTGGTTGCCTCTTGGGACAGCTTCCTGTTGTACCTGAGGGTCTCAGGTGCTTCTCTTTCAAATCCTGTCCAGTGGGCTGGCATTCAGTGAGCACCTGGGCACTGTGCTGGGTCAGGAAAGTCAAACGGGCTTAATAGTTACCAGGGTTTAATAGTAACCAGGGCTTCATAGTAATTACTGGCTCTCTTTGAGCACTGCTGCGAGAAGATTGAGCCCAATGTTAAGTGCACAAGGCAATTTATTCTGCAAAACAGAAGTCGTTGCCACAAGCAAAAGGACAGCCTTACCTTCTCTGTAGCAGAGAACGCCTGTGGGTCCCACACTGAAAACTTGTATCATGTTTCTCAATAAATACTAATACTGAGAACTTCTGATTGCAATAACACATTTCTAGCAATGTGTCCAGAAGGATCCCTCGTACAAAAAAGGGTACACATTGTAATATATTTCCCATCAATCTCTATGGGAAAGTGAAGACAGTACTTCCTAATCCCTGGTTTGATCTTGTGTCTAAATAGATACTTTCCTGTTTGCTGCTGATCCTAGCGTATGTTGGAATTACCAACTACGGCACACATGATCAAAAAGGGCACCATGCATGCAGGATACTCATGGGTGCCACTCCACTCTCAGAACAAGCTTCCTGTCTAGAGAAAATGCACATTGACAAAAATCTGACTTCCTCTTGAAGCCTGAGGAAAGAAGGAATCATCACACCAGCTCATTCATAAGATCAACCTTCTATGATAACATACAGAGAGGGGAGGAGACATGCACATATTTGGCGTTTCCTTTCTGAAACTGAGAAAGCTGCATGTTCTCAGACATACCTAATCACTGATTTCCAGAATGTATTTCAAGAACCCTCAGCAGATTTGGGCAACATGGGACATAAAGTGGAAAGACCTGTTGGCCCTTCTACACTACAATATGGAGCAGAATTACAAAGTCTCAGAATCCTCTCCGTAATCACGATGCCAATACATCGTGGAAGGTGGGACAAGTCTTGGGTCCCAGGAGATGATTTGATTCTAGCATCTCAAGGTGGGCAAGTTATTTTTAGGTTCACTTTAAAAGTTGAAGCAACCATGGTCAGGAGAACATAACTTCCCCAGGTTGCACAGCTGATGAGTGGAGAATGGTAATAGTATTTAACATTTATTAGGTGTTTACTATGTGCCAAGCACTATTCTATATTAACTGATTGATATATAGAACTATGAGGTCAGGATTATTCTCTTTTTCCTATTTGGAAGCACAGCCAAATGAAGTGATTTCCCCAGGTTCACAGCATTGGTGAGTGGGAAAGCTAGAACTCGAATCCAGGCAGTAAGACTCCAGAATCCACACTCTTAACCACTCTTCTAAAACCTTGACCTCTGCCTCCTGCCAAAGTCGGGTGACACCCACACCTGAGCTAAGAAATGTGGAGATGTGTCAGCCCACGTGGTTGGTGGTCTCAGCAAGGACATGTGATGTACTCTACCCTCTGAGATGCCACAGAAGAACCTAAAACAATTCTGAATGAAAGCAAGCAGTGACCACCTCAGTGTGAAGATGAGTGAGAAGGAACAGCAACGCAGTTCAAACAGATCTTTGAACGCTGACACTCTTTCAGGCCACTGGTTCTCATGACCATGAAAAATATTTCTATTTCTGGTCATTTAGAAAATTAAAAAATGTTTCAGAGTGTAATGTTCAAATAAACTACCTACAAATTTGATCTTAGTTGCCTTGAAAAGTGGTTCTATTTAATGCTGTAATATTTGTGTGGTGGGGAGAGAATACCGTATTTTGCTGTGTATAATGTGCACCCACATTTTTGTGCACATTATACATGGGATTATTATACCCACAGTCTGTAATCATTATACCCCTCTATAATATGCATTCTTACTTTTTCCGTCAAAAATTTGGGCAAAAAAGTGTTCATTATACATGGCAAAATACAGTAGTCACTTTTCTTAGATGTAAATAACATCTCATTGTCTCATTCTGTTACTAAGCACCTACTACCCAAAACGGGGACAGCCAAGACTATCACCTGTACAACATTACCTGATTTTCTTTTGTTCTAACCTCAAGCTCTCTAATAGCTACATTTGAGCAGAAGGCCAAATAAAAAATGATCTGCTTCAGACAGCTAAGTTCAAACAGGCAGGATAAATAACTAGGTAGCATTTGCCCCACATGATGTTCTTTGTAATTATTTGTTAAAGAAACGATCAGTACCCAGCTACTTGAAAATGGAACTTAGTATCTATTTGGGTGGAGAATTTACTACCAGTGAGTTTTTTGTTTCTCCTGTCCATCACGCCATCCTCTCAGACTGAGGCTGCAGCCAACTGTACCTCGTGGCAAGAAGAACATCAGTCCAGCAAAGAGATACCTGGTGAACTAAGTCTAAAAAAAAAAGTGATTGCAACAAAAAGACACATCACCTCATGGGAGGGGTAGAAACTAGCTACTTGACTCTCACAAGATTACTCAGCATTAAAAACTTAAAAAAAAAAAAAGTGAATTTGCAGAAGTTGGAAGATGCCTAAAAAGAAAACTTCCTAGAACCACTTCCCCTTACTCTGTGTGACCTTCCCCCATATCATTCAGCTTAGGTAATTCCCTCCCACATTCTCATAAAACCCCCGAAAGGCAAAGGAAAAGTAAAGCAAATGAGATTGCATTTCACAGCGTCAGGCTACTTCATTTCCATGTTATTCAATTTATTCCAGGTCTGGGCCTGATCTGAATGACTGCTCGCTTCCACCTTCCTAAAGTGCTTCAACCAGGTTCACGTGACGATTGCTTGAGACAGCAAGTAGAAAGTGGAGCTAAAATTAGTAAGGGTAAATAGAAGTACAGAATCTATTTCTGTGAAAAACAAAAGTTTAGAGCAAAAGACTGGGAAAAGTAAGTAAACTACGAATAAAGGTACGCGTGGGGTAATTGGTGGAGATGGGTTTGCAGAGCTCAGGAAATGTGTTTTAACTTATTAAATGAAGCTGAGATCTAAGGAAACTATGACATCACAAGTCCTCCAAAAGACATTTAAATGAATGAGGTGCACAGGTTATAGAAGAATGTGGGTAGAATCAAATTGTTGGGAGGCTGACTGGGGGACTTCAGAAATATTAGAAATCAGTGAGCTCAACCCTCTTATTTTAAAGAGGAAGGTGTGTGAAGGCGAGAGAAGCTAAATAACTGGCACCAGTTCACTCTGTGCAAGCGCAGCAGCAAGGTCCAGAGGGGCGACCCAACTTCCACCCACCCCACATCACACCCCCTACTGCTGCCTTGGCACATGATCTTCTTACCTTCTTCCCGAATAGCATCCTCTTTATGCTCATTTTCCACATCTTCAAAATGGAGTTATGAAGCCAAATGAAAGACAAAGCCAGAAACCTCCCTAGGCTGCCCCAGGTCCCCTGCCTTCCCGGTGGGGCTTGCCCCTGCCAGCTAACACAGCACTTAATACAGCTCCTCTGCATCCCCTCTGCATCGGCCTATCAGAAGCCAGCGACGCTTTTACTAATTGGTTAAAAAAGAAAATAGGCTGCACTTGCGTACTGCAGCAACAGGTCCCTGTGATTAAGGCCTCCTTCTACTGAACAGCAGTAAGTATTCCGTAGAAATGCATTCAATGTAGGTAATAAACTAGAAGGCTTGAAGAGAGAGGAGAGGCTGTGGGGAAGGCAGAAGACAGAGGAGAGCACTGGGTCTGAGATCTTTCAACAGTCAAGGAGCAAGGGCACTTGCAGAGTTAAGACCCTGTCCCTGGGTCCTGGGCTTGCATCCTGCTCTGCTTCATCAAGAAGCCCGACCTTGGGCAAATTATAAGAGGTCCTTGTGCCTCCGCTTCCTCACTTGGAAACTGGAAGTAAGAAAAGTACTTACTTTATGGGTTGTTAAGTGCATTAAATAAACTATTATCTGTTTGACTCTCTCATCAATGCCTGGCACACAGTAAGTACTATATGGCAGGGGTGTCAAACTCATTTTCACTGGGGGCCACATCAGCCTCGCAGTTGCCTCCAAAGGACCGAATGTAATTTTAGGACTGTGTAAATGGAACTACTCCTTAACCAGGGGCAAGGAGCTCGGTGCTGCCGCTGGGTAGAAACCAGGTGCTGGGCCAGATAAAACAAGGTGGAAGGCCAGATTCGGCCCACGGGCCTCGTGTTTGCCACCTGCGCTATGTGGGCACCCTACGTTTTCCTAGGAAAGAAAGAGCTTTCCTAGGGATATCAACCAGCACCCAACAGAATTTTTTTAAAACTGTCAATGTGAAACAAGTACTCACTGATGAACTGACAGAGCAGGAAGGTGCCCCTGCCCTGCACACGCACTTGGGCAGGAGGGCGGTTTGGGCCGAACAGGATTGTTCAGTATAGAAAGGCCGACCAAATATGCCTCCCCACACCACGCCTGTGCCACGAGTGAGTGGAGCTCCAAAACAAATTCTTCCCAGGGGTCCCTTGGGGTGTTTCAGGGCCAGTGCTCTCTGGATTGGTTTTTTCCATCTGTGTCACCTGAGGAGAGTAATTAGCTTGAAGTTTTCCCAGGTTGCCCCTGGAGAAGGTGACAGAGTTCACCCTGTTCTTCATTGCTTTTCCTGTGCTTCAAGATGATTTTTAAACCAACTCAAATCATTTCCAAAAAAAATCCATGTATTTGGATTCTCTCAAGAAAATGGTTTTCTCAACAGTCTGTTGATGGAGGCTAATGATGCTACTGCAGGTGCAGCCCCTTAGATCATTACACCAACGGCAAAAATAACGCGTGAGGGCAAAGGAAAGGCCCAGCTTGTTTGTGAAGCCGGCAGGGAGGGTAAAAAACGAAAGGAGCACTCCTCAAGGCACAGACTTTCCCTGGCCAGGTTTCTGAAAGGCTCTGAGCTTCCCCAAAATGAATACTATTGGTGCCTCACACAGATAATCACCAGAAGCCACGACGTCCCACGGAAAGCATGTCATGTGGCTGAAGTCGATCAGGATGAAA